ACATTCGAATGGAAAGAAATGCTAAATGTTGGTTAGAGGTTAGGGAAAATCCGGATGTATTCTTTCCCCAGCTGTGTGCACCAGCTCACTAAATCTTGTCCATGAACTCCAGGTTAAAATCCCCTACTACTTAAAGGATGGTCCAGGCCGGGCGCGGTGGCTCACACCTGTAATCTCAGCACTGTGGGAGGCTGAGGCGGGTGGATCATTTGAGGTCAGGAGTTCAAGACCAGCCTGGCCAACATGGTGAAACCCCATCTCTGCTAAAAATACAAAACTTAGCCAGGTATGGTGGCACATGCCTGTAATCCCAGCTACTCAGGAGGCTGAGGCAGGAGAATCCCTTGAACCCGGGAGGCAGAGGTTGCAGTGAGCCGAGATCGCACCATTGCACTCCAGCCTGGGCGACAGAGCAAGACTCTATCTCAAAAAAAAAAAAAAAAAGGATGATCTGGACCAACAGCCTGGGTTGGCTAATGCTTCTCAAATCCTATGGGATAGATGCAGGTTCTGATTCAGTGAATGTACCCTGAGAGTCTGCACTGCTAAGAGGCCCCAAGTTAGCAATGCTGTTTCTGGTGCAGGCACCAAATGGCAGACAGAAGCCTCAGGGCTTCTCCTGGTGACGACTTTAACCTGGAGTGGAGGTCAGAGCTGGAATTCACATGGCACACGGATGGTGTTTCCTGATCCTTGAAGTCTCTAGCAATGGCTTGGAGTTCTCCAGCTTCATCCTCAAGGGGCATGCATTCCTTTTCCATAAGTACGTGATGATAGAGACGAACATGGGTGGAGATTCTGAGCAGCTAGGTGCCCTGCTTCCTGAAAGCTCCCACGGAGCAGCAGCAGCTGCTTGTCAGGTAAGCCGCAGACCCATGGCAAGTCCCAATACACAAAATGCATGCACAACTACACACGACCATTCACAGAAAATAGAGACAACTCACAAGTGCAAGTCACCAAGCCCTAAAAGTGCAAGTGAGGGCACAAAAGGAAAAAAGCAACTAAAGATTTTTTTTTTTTTGAGATGGAGTGTTGCTCTGTCACCCAGGCTGGAGTGCAGTGGCACAATCTCAGCTCACTGCAACCTCTGCCTCCCAGGTTGAAGCCATTCTCCTGCCTCAGCCTCCGGAGTAGCTGGGATTACAGGCGCCCACCACCACGCTCAGCAAATTTTTGTGTTTTTAGTAGAGATGGGGTTTCACCATATTGGCCAGGTTGGTCTTGAACTCCTGACCTCAGGTGTCTGCCTGCCTTGGCTTCCCAAAGTGCTGGGATTACAGGCATGAGCCACCGTGCCTGGCCTAAAGACTTTGAAATTATTAACAAATGTACCTTCCCTATTTTCCTGAGTGCACAAAAACATGTATTTAACTCTTCTCTAAACTAGGTCCTATTATTTAATCACCCTCAGCTGTGAAAAAACTCCAACGCTTGAGACATACTTAATATAGAGTATTAAAACAGCAGGAAATACTCTAAGTTAACAAATGGTGTAACTGTTATTTGTAGTACTATGGCAAGAAGTGTGCAGAATATCAAGGTAATTAAACTAATTTTTGTGTCCCATCCACTAGTGGTTTTTACAGTGTTTTTACCAGGAAAAATTAAATCTGGAGACCTGGGTCACTGGGCCTACATTTTTTCTTCAGCCTTGATGGGGTTTCCAGAGCCTTTCCATACCACTTCTTCACCTCCAGCACCCCCAACAGCCTGACTGGAGCTTCCTTCAACCTCCCTCCTTCCTTAAACCCAAGTTCTTTAGTTGTATAGCAAACATTTCAACTTTCAACCCAGTTACTAGGGCTGCTGGGCTGCTCTTAGGGTGCCCTCTGCTGGCCACACATGGAAGCAGGTGTAAAAGTCTTAAAACATCTTTCTTTAGGAATTGTAAGAATAAAAATTAAAGATAAAAAAAAAATTGGAAGAAAGAAAGAATTAGTTTGTGTTTGTTTTGCTTAGCATCTTTGGTCTCTGGGATTCAAAAAGTATGTTGATGCAACAGGAGGTAGTTAAGAAAAGTTTGGCTGGCTAGGTGCAGTGGCTCCAGCCTGTAATCCCAGCACTTTGGGAGGCCGAGGCAGGTAGATCACCTGAGGCCAGGAGTTTGAGACCAATCTGGCCAACTGGTGAAACCCAGTCGCTACTAAAAATACAAAAAAAAAAAAAAAAAAAGCCAGGCATGGTGGCATACACCTATGATCCCAGCTACTTGGGAGGCTGAGACATGAGAATCACTTGAACCTGGGAGTTCAAGATTGCAGTGAGCCGAGATCATGCCACTGCACTCCAGCCTGGGAGACAGAGCAAGACCTTGTCTCAAAAAAAAAAAGTTTGGGAGCTCCTAGGTTACACTCCAGAAGCCTTTTAATTATTTTATCTTACCAATTTATTTGTGCTTGTAGACACAGAATTTTGCCATGTTGCCATGCCCAGCCCTCCAGAAGCCTCTTAAAAGCACATTGAAGGCTGCGCACAGTGGCTCACGCCTGTAATCCCCACACTTTAGGAGGCCAAGGTGGGAGGATCACTTGAGCTTGGGAGTTCAAGACCAGCCTGGGCAACAGGGCACGACTCTGTCTCTACAAAAACTATTTAAAATTTGGCAGGCTAATTTTTTAGTAGTGGTCCCAGCTCCTCGGGAGGCTAAGGTGGGAGCATCACTTGAGCCTGGAAGGTGGAGATTGCAGTGAGCCGAGATCATGCAACTGCGCTACAGCCTGGGAGACAAAGTGAGACCCTGTCTCAAAAATAATAATAATAAAATAAACTTAAAAGCATATTGAAACAGTAAAGAACTCCTACAACTCAACAACAATAAAACAAACAACTTGATTAAGAAATGGGCAATGGACTTGAATAGACATTTATTTAAGAAGATAAACAAATGGCCAACAAGTACATGAAAAAATGCTCAACACCACTAATCGATTAATTAAGGAAACACAAATCAAAACCAAAACACAGCCAGGCAGGTGAGTCTATAGTCCCAGCTACTCCAGAGGCTGAGGTAGGAGGATAACTTGTGCCCAAGCGCTGCAGACCACCCTAGGCAACATAGTGAGACCCCACCTCTAAAAACAAAATAAAAATAAATTTTTTTAAACATCCATTATGATGGCTACTAGTAAAAATGAAACAGGAAATAACAAATGTCATTGAGGTTGTGGAGAAATTGGAACCCTTGATGGCAGGATGTAAAATGGTGCAGCCACTATAGAAAATAGCATAGCAATTCCTCAAAAAATTAAAAATAGAATGACCACAGAATCCAGCTATTCCACTTCTAGGCATATATCTAAAAAAGCTGAAAGCAGAGTCTTGAAGACGTATTTGTACACCCGTATTAATAGCAGCATTATGCATAATAGCCAAACGGTGGAAGCAAGCCAAGTGCCCATCAGCAGATGACTGGATAACAGATGCAGCAAACCCACAACACACATTCCCACGTAAGGAAGGACACGCTGCTACAACACGGACGAACGTTGGCGATACGATGCTAAGTGAATAAACCTGTCACAAAAACACCACTACTATATGATTCTACTTATATAAGGGATCTTGAATAGTCAAACTCACAAAGAGAGCAGAACGGGGGTTGCCAGGGATGGGGGGATGGGGAAATGGGGAGTTCTTGTTTCATGGGTACAGAGTTTCAGTTTTGCAAGATGAAAAAGCTCTGGTGGTAGGTTGTACAATCAGTATGCTTACTCCTGCTGGACTGTATACACTTAAAAATGGTTAGGATGGTAAATTCTGTCGTATACTTTACCACAATTAAAAAAAATTTTTTTTTTGAGACAAGGTCTCACCCTGTCACTGAGGCTGGAGTGCAGTGGCGTGATCACAGCTCACTGCAGCCTCAACCTCCCAGGCTCAAGCAATCCTCCCACCTCAGCCTCCCCCGTAGCTGGGATCAGAGGTGCGCGCCACCACGCCTGGCTAATTTTTTTTTGAAGAGATGGTGTTTCACCATGTTGCCTGGGCTGGTCTCAAACTCCCAGGCCCAAGCGATTTTCCCACCTCAGCCTCCCAAAATTGCTGGGATTACAGGCGTGAGCCACCGCACCCAGCCACATAAAAATCCACACAATGATTCCTTCCTGTGCTGGCCTGCTCCAGATCTGGCGCAGCTTCTCAAAACTCAGAAAGTTGCTGCTCGCAAGGATTTAGAGATCTAGTTGAATTTTACAGATCAAAATACTAGAGGCCACGACAGGCAAAGTGACTTAGGAAAGGTCTCCCGAGTTTAGTGGTAGAGACAAGATTAGTGAGTCTGGCTCCTGACTCCCAGACTGGGGCTCTACCCTGCATTCCCAATTCCAGTGGGGACACCCATTTCCACACAGGGCGGGAAAAGGCGCCCTATCCATTCGGGCTTCCTTCCCGTACACCAGGGGTTGGAGGTAGGTGGGCATGTGAGGAAATGCACCTTTGGTAAAAGCTCCTGAACAAACCTGGAGGGAGATGAGAAGAAACAAACAGGTCAGCGCTTAAATGCTAACAGGACTACCCGGGCGCAGTGGCTCACGCCTGTGATCCCAGCACTCTAGGAGGCCAAGGTGGGCAGATCACCTGAGGTCAGGAGTTCAAGACTAGCCTGGCCAACATGACGGCCAAACCTCGTCTCTACTAAAAATACAAAAATCAGCAGGATGTGGTGGCAGATGCCTGTAATCACAGCTACTCGGGAGGCTGAAGCAAGAGAATCACCTGAACCCAGGTGGCAGAGGCTGCAGTGAGTCGAGATTGCGCCACTGCACTCCAGCCTGGGGGATAGAATGAGATTCTGTCTCAAAAAAAAAAAAAAAAAAAAAAAAAAAAAAAAAAAAACAGGATAAAGCCTGAGTATTTTTTCCCTATTGAGTTACTTTGTAGCTTTCCCCAACCTCAAGTCATAAAGGGGTTTGGAATTGTCCCTTCAAGGTGACACATTCTGCTACATTGTGAGTGACGGACACCGTTTTCTGCCTCCAATAATACCACATGAGGAGGCATACATAGAAATGATTTTTTATTTACTTTGATGATTAGGAAAAGATACCAACATAGCTTTCATCAAAGCTAACAAATTACTGGCAGTTAACTAATTTTATTAGAATAAAGACATGTCTGTTTAAACTGAAACCACTGGCCCTTTGCTTTGGCTGGGACCTTGCAAATCACAGCCAAGGTGCTGATGAGAAAACAGTCACCATCACATCAACCTCCTGCCAGCACATGGCACAGAGATGCCACGAAGGCCCCGCAGGTCCCTCAAAGAGCAGCTGGGGCTCCACCTACCAAGTCCCAGTGGCTTATTTTGAAAAGATTTGCTTTCCACCGGTAAGGCGTGGCCCAAGTACATTTCTCGGGACTGCCATTGGCTCATCGTGCATGCATATGAGGTAGTTCTCTCTGCATTTTGCAGATGCTCTAAACTTGCCCAGGGGGTGGATGTCACGAATCTGAAACCTCTGGCTTCACATTCCCACTGGGAATGCCCCCCAGTCCCCAGTCACAAGTCAGTCTCCAATCCTGCCGCAGACTCTAGCTCTTCAAATCCAAAGGGATGTTTTCTTCATCCACAGGTTTCGGTTTTAACTGGCTGCTCAGTGTTAAAAAGGAGTATCTCAAGCCCCCTGCCATGCTGAAAGGAGAAAAAAAAAGTGAAAATAAATGACGGGGAATTTCCCAGGGGCTCCAGCAGCAGTTGCTGGCGTTTTTATCAATACAGCCTGCTTCATGCGGAGGGAATTATTCCAATATCTGTGTTTCTCCTCAAGCTTGTGGATTGCTTGATGAGAATGTCCCCTCTTATTTACAAGCCTTTGGAGGCAGAAAAAGAGTCATCAAATCTAATGCAGAACCTCAGAGAGAAAATAAGCACTTGGTTTTTACTGAATAAACTACATACCCTTAGCCTTAAATAGTATCCCACTGCTGAGACCCCAAATGCCTTTCAAAGCTGGGTTAGTCCACACCCCCTGCTTGCCGAGCCTAGTGGTCACAAAGGTTAACACCCTCCACTTCACAGGAGGGCAGAGAACGCAGGGGCCTTCTGTGAGGAAGACAGGTGAGTTAAATTCCGATCCCAGCCCCGCAAACTGTCATCACACATGTCCCCATGGATCTGCATGAGGATGAACCCAGGGATGAAGTAAAATTATCGTAGAAATTAGAATGTCAAAACGCCTCCCGGCTTAACATGAAAGACTTCTCTAGGCTCTTTTGTTTATTACATATTAATCGAACTGTTTAAGGTTCTCGTTTTCCCAAAGTGAGTCCATTAAAAATTCCCACTCACCAAATATTTAATCCTACAAAGTTTAACAAAGAGAAAATGTAGTCTCCACCGATTAACATCCCAATGTAGGCAACGGATACATTCTGCAGAAAACGAGAGAGGATTTGTCATTTTAAAAGTAAAATGTTTAGGGGAAAATATAAATAGTAAAACCTGAAACTAGACATTTTAGTTACTTTGCAAAGAGACTTGTACATAGGGATATTCACAGGGGGCTGAAAAAAATTAAAAACCATTACAGGCCAGGAATGATGGCTCACGCCTGTAATCCCAATACTCCGGGAGGCCAAAGTCAAAGGATCACTTGAGCCCAGGAGTTTAAGACCAGCGGGGGCAACACAGTGAGATCCCATCTCTACCAAAAATTTTTTGAAAGTAGCCGGACATGGTGGCACATGCCTGTAATCCCACAGGGACTGAAGTGGGAGGACTGCTTCAGCCCAGGAAGTCAAGGCTGCACTGAGCTACATGCCACTGTACTCCAGCCTGGGCAACAGAGCAAGACCCTGCCTCGGAAAAATAAATAAGCCATTACATATGGGGCTTACTAAATGAATGCAGTAAATTATGGTCTGATAACAACAGAAAATTGCGTTATTCTCTCCCCTGTTCCAGTTGGCATGCAGGCGAAAGAGGAAGAGTGGGGCTACCATCGGCTTGCCAGATCCTAACTCTACTATCACTGGGTAGTGAGGTTTTCCGGGGTTTTTTTCTTCTTCTTTTTTTTTTTTTTTAGACAGAGTCTCGCTCTGTTGCCCAGGTTGGAGGGCAGTGGCACAATCTCGGCTCACTGCAACCTTTGCCTCCCAGGTTCAAGAGATTCTCCAGTCCAGCCTCCCAAGTAGCTGGGACTACAGGGCGCCCACCACCACACCTGGCTCATTTTTGTATTTTTAGTAGAGATGGGGTTTTGCCATATTGGCCAGGCTGGTCTTAATTCCTGACCTCAGGTGATCTGCCTGCCTCGGCCTCTTGAAGTCCTGGGATTACAGGCATGAGCCACTGTGCCTGGCCTGTTTTTCGTTTTTTCTTTTTTTTTTCAACCCTGGGCACTGCAGATTGTGCACTGGACACTACACTGCAATCTGTGGGCACACCAGGGCCAAGTAGTGAGTTAATCGTCTTGATCATATACTTGAGCAGAGTGGAGACAGTCAATAAATTCCAGGCCATGCTCTGCCCACTGCATTCTAGGAGACCTCTGGGCAGCCAAGGGACAGGTGAATTATTGAAGCAGGTGTGTTTTCAAACACTCTAGGACTTCATGTGAATAGAAAAACGAAGCAAGTACGGAATAGAATCCAGAACGCCTCTCCCGCTATTCATTCACGTGCGTGTGTGTTTATTCAGATGCATCCACACACACAAACACCCACACACCAACCCACAAGCTCACCGACCTCACCACACACCAGCCCACAAGCTCACCGGCCTCACCACACACCAGCTCACAAGCTCACCGGCCTCACCACACAGCACGCACCTCCACAAGCTCACCGACCTCACCACACAGCACGCACCTCCACAAGCTCACCGACCTCACCACACAGCACGCACCTCCACAAGCTCACTGACCTCACCACACAGCACGCACCTCCACAAGCTCACCGACCTCACCACACAGCACGCACCTCCACAAGGGCTCCACTTCTCAGTGGGCAGGTTCTCCCAGAAAACCAAATTATGGATCACAAGGTGTCTTACTCATCATTGATACCTGGGTTTTGTTTTGTTTTGTTTTAGCTTTTTACTTCATTTTCCCAGACCCACCCCTCCAAGCCACCCCCAACTTAAAAGTTATAATTCGTCTCTCCTTTATAAATTAGCAATCTGTCCCTCTATTCCATGCAGTAGATTAGAAGAAGTAAGATGGGGCCGGGCTCAGTGGCTCACACCTGTAATCCCAGCACTTTGGGAGGCTGAGATGGGTGGATCACGAGGTCAGGAGTTCAAGAACAGTCTGGCCAACAAGGTGAAACCCAGTCTCCACCAAAAATATAAAAAATTAGCCAGCTGTGATGGCGGGCGCCTGTAATCCCAGCTACTCGGGAGGCTGAGGCAGGAGAACTGCTTGAACCCAGGAGGTGGATGCAGTGAGCCAAGATTGCACCACTGCACTCCAGCCTGGATGACAGAATGAGACTCTGTCTCAAAAAAGAAAAAGAAGTAAGATGGGATCACACAGGCCCAGCTGAAAAGGTCACAGCCCTCATTCTTACACCACCACACCACTACAACCAACAAAATCTAATCCGGCCTCCAGCGGAAAATCTGGATTCACAGTCCATTCCTTGACTCAGTTGTTCCTTCCAAGGCTCCATCCACTCACCTTGATGGCTCCAACCACTGCTGTCGTCAAGGCTGAATTGTAATAGCTGCACAGAACCGTGGAGTACATCAGCAGAAACCTGCGACAAGAAAGCAGACACAGAGTATGCGTCTCACTACGCTGGGCAATAATAAATAGGTTAAGGCCAGCAGTGGCCCCCACACAAGCACTTTAAGGCAAAGAAAAAAGAAACACATATCACAAAGGTTTTGTAACCCACACCTTAAGATATCTTGCTATTGGTCTTATGACAGGAAAATGGTCCAGCTGTGAATTAGCTAAACCTTCTACTTAAGGTATCCTTCTCATTTTCTCTGTACATTTCCCCTGAATGTTTCCACAACCTGGGAGTAAGGAGAACAAGGTTTAATGACCTGAAATCTCTCATTTATCAGCATGTTAAATGAAGTTAAGACTTTGAGTTTTGTTTTTGTTTTTGTTTTTTTTGAGATGGAGTCTCGCTCTGTCACCCAGGCTGGAGTGCAGTGGCGCGATCTGAGCTCACTGCAAGCTCCGCCTCCTGGGTTCGTGCCATTCTCCTGCCTCAGCCTCCCAAGTAGCTGGGACTACAGGCGCCCGCCACCGCGCTCGGCTAATTTTTTTGTAATTTTTAGTAGACAGGGTTTCACGCCGGTTTAGCCCAGGGATGCTGGATTCTCCTGACCTTCAGGTGCAATCAGCCGCCTGGCCTCACCAAGCTGCTGGGAATTACAGGTGTGAGCCCACGCGCCACCGGCCAAACTTTGAGTTTTTAATCCTCTGTGTCACAGGATCACGCTGTTGGCACCACCTTTTTTTTGTTGTTTGTTTTGTTGGGTAGGGACGGGAGTCCTCACTCTGTCCCCAGGCTGGAGTGCAGTGGCCGGCATCTCGGCTCACTCAACCTCCCCCCGTAGGCTCCAGCAATTCTCCTCCTAGCCCTGTCCGAGGAGCTGGCGGCCTAACAGGCCGAATGCTGCCACCGCCCAGCGTAGACATATTTTTTGTATTTACGTAGAGATGGGGGTTTCACCTGTGTTGCCCAGGGCTGGTTTGAAACTCCTGGCTCCAGGTCCCACTCCGCCGCCTTCACGGCGCCCCTCCCCAAAATATGCTTAGGATACAGGGCTGTGAGCCAAGCTGCCCAGTCTGCCTGCCCTGCACTTCCCAACCACACATTGAACGACTGCCCTGGCAAAGTTCCTGCTTCACACACTGGTTTCGAAGTGGGGCCCTGACCCCCACGGCACGAGATGAAAGATTCCCTCAGGATTCTGACCTGCAGGCCAGAGAGGAGGACCCTGGTGTCGCGGAAGAGAAAATCAGCCTGCGGGATTTGCTGCCTTGCAGACCAGAGGAGACTTGAAACAGATGCCAACGGTGTGGATAATCCTAACTGTACCTGTTACCAAATTAACCTCAGCACTAACATGACCGTAGGTAATGATAACTTACTGTGCCAAATAAAATGATAAGCCCTGTGGAACCGAGCCATACCCAACAAGAAAACACATAACAGGTAAAGAATGCCAAATCCGGCCCGGGCGCGTGGCTCAGCCTGTAATCCCAGCACTTTGGGAGGCCGAGACGGGCGGATCACAAGGTCAGGAGATCGAGACCATCCTGGCTAACATGGTGAAACCCCGTCTCTACTAAAAATACAAAAAACTAGCCGGGCGAGGTGGCGGGCGCCGTAGTCCAGCTAACTCGGGAGGCTGAGGCAGGGGAATGGCGGAACCGGGAGGCGGAGCTTGCAGTGAGCTGAGATCCAGCCACACTGCACTCCCGCCTGGGCGACAGAGCCAGACTCCGTCTCAAAAAAACAAACAAAAAAACAAAAACAAAACAAAACAAGAGATGCCCAATCCAGTCAGGTAAAGAAGTGAGCTAATTCCAGTCAAGCGTGATGGGAAATTAGCTGCAACCTCACCTAAGCTGCAACTCAGATCAGATGATGAAATGTTGAAAGGGAATACAAACCGGCCTGAGAAAGAAACACCGGAAGGTACAGGGAGAGCACAAGGTGGTGAGATGTGAAAAGCTAAATCCCAGGTCAGCCTGGACACGGTGGCTCATGCCCATAATCCCAGCACTTTAGGAGGCAGAGGTGGGTGAATCGCCTGAGGTCAGGAGTTCCAGACCAGCCTGGCCAACATGGTGAAACCTCTCTCTACTAAAAATACGAAAATTAGCCGGGCGTGGCGGCACATGCCTGTAGTCCCAGCTACTCGGGAGGATGAGCAGCAGAATTGCTTGAACCCGGGAGGCGGAGCTGAGATCATACCACTGCACCTCCACCCTGGTGGACAAGCGCGAGACTCCATCTCAATTAATTAATTAATTAATCAGTCCCAGGTTGAAGGCAGGAGCTTGGATTCCCCACCTGACCAGAAAGCGAACTCAACTCTAGCAAAGGGCTCAGTGCACCTGCACTTGGGTAAGCACAGAATTGATTGAATTCTAGAATCCTGCTAGAATTTAACACTCGGTCTTGGTGCTAGGCTAAATCTCTGGTGGAGATCACAGTCACAGACCTTCAACATGATAACCTCTGTTGGCCTGAGTGTGTTTATTACTAAAGGTGGTAGAGGGAAAAAATCAGAATATCAAGCTTTACAAGTTGAAGAATAAACTTAATTTCAAACTTAAATTTTGTAATCTTTGGAATACTGTGTGCATTGTAATTAAAACAATTTGAAAAGTTAAAGAAACTCTTGGTTCTAATTTGAAATATATAATTGATGTTAGACTTGCAATTTTAATTTGAAAGAAGAGTGTTGCAGTCTCATCAGAATTTGAATTTTTTTTTTTTTTTTTTTTGAGACGGAGTCTCACTCTGTGGCCAGCCTGGAGTGCAGTGGCGTGATCTCGGCTCACTGCAACCTCTGCCTCCCAGGTTCAAGCAATTCTCCTGCCTCAGCCTCCCAAGTAGCTGGGACTACAGGCGAGCGCCACCACACCCAGCTAATTTTTGTACTTTTAGTAGAGACGGGGTTTCACCATGTTGGCCAGAATGGTCTTGCTCTCTTGACCTCGTGATCTGCCCGCCTCAGCCCCCCAAAGTGCTGGGATTACAGACATGAGCCACTGCAACCGGCCTGAATGTTTTTTAAGAAGCTGATTTACCCCATTTCTAAATTTGGTTTATTAGATTTCAAACAGTTGCTTAAGTACAAAAAGCAATCTACTAGCTTTGTTAATTGGCCTCAGGGGCTGGAATTGCTGAAGAAAAAGTAGGCAGCTCCCATTTGTAAAAGCAGTTGAAAATGCTTAAATTATTTTAATTCACTAAGCTGTAAATGGAACTGATTTACAGTACATTGTTTAGGGGATTTTAATCAGTTAAACTTGAGTTAATAAACCATTTATCAAATAATGAAAGTAAATGTTCTTTTATAGAAAAATTGTTAGCCTTATAAATAAGGCAATAATATTTGTAAGTTGAACTTTAAGGCTTAAGAAAAAAAATCTAAGTTTCGGCCGGGCATGGTGGCTCACGCCTGTAATCCCAGCACTTTGGGAGGCCAAGGCAGGCAGAGAGTGAGACGATCCTGGCCAACACAGTGAAACCCTGTCTCTACTAAAAATACAAAAAAATCAGCCAGGCGTGGTGGCGGGCACCTGTAGTCTCAGCTACTCGGGGGGCTGAGGCAGGAGACTCGCTTGAGCCCAAGAGGCAGAGCTTGCAGTGAGCCGGGATCGCGCCACTGTACTTTAGCCTGGGGGACAAAGTGAGACTCCGTCTCAAAAAAAAAAAAAACCAAAATCCAAGTTTCTCAAATTGTTATAATTTTAATAAATCTAACATTAATTTAGATTCCCAGGAGCTATAAATAATCCTATTTATGCATAAAATGAAAAAATCTGAAAACTCAAACTGATGCCACTGAGTGCCTGCTCTGCCAGGCCCTGGCCGTCGGAGGGGACCATCCCATTCGCAGCACCTGCCCCGGAGCCGCTCAGACCCAGCTCAGAGGAGAGAGATGCACAGCAGTGGGAGCACAGCAGCGGGAGCACAGCGCAGGGCCCCGGAGCCGCTCAGACCCAGCTGAGAGGAGAGAGCTGCACAGCAGCGGGAGCACAGCACAGGGCCCCGGAGCCGCTCAGACCCAGCTGAGAGGAGAGAGCTGCACAGCAGCGGGAGCACAGCACAGGGCCCAGCCCAACACAGGGGCAAGAGAGGAGCTTCCTGCAGGCCGCGTACGCACCAGCACAGCCTTCAACCAAGGACAGCATGGATGTTCTTTATTTCCACTTTTGCTTTAAAATTCCAACTCCAGGGTTCCAGTCATGCAACATTTTCTCCATCCTACGTTTTTTTTTTTTCCTTAAAAAAGGGTTGGGGGGAACCTTATCTCTTGACGAGGTCTGCCTGTATTACCCAGGCTGGACATGAATGCCTGGGTTCAAGGGATCCTCCCGCCTGTCTTCCAAGTAGCTGGGCTTAGAGATGTGCGCCCACACACCCGGCTCCATCCTAGTGAAGCCACCTCAGCCTGCATTCAGAATCAGAAGACATCACGGATCTGAGATCCCAGCACCATCTATCATGAGTGTGGGTGACGAGGACATCACTCACCAGCTGGGCTGCGCCAGGGAGGAGAACCCCTCCCTAACATTCTGGAGTGAGCCTCAATAAGCAGCCATCCTCCTTAGCAACAGATAGGCGGCTAGATCGAAGAGCTGCACTTCTGCTTTCTTTTCTGTTTTTTAAAGACAGGGTCTCACTCTTTTGCCCAGGCTGGAGTGCAGTGGTGTGATCATGGTTCACTGCAGCCTCCACCTCCCAGGCTCAAGCAATCCTCCCACCTCGGCCTCTCAAGTAGCTGGAACTATAGGTACACATCACTAAACCTGGCTAATTTTTAAATTTTTCTAGATACAGAGTCTTGCTGTCTTGCCCAGGCTGGTCTGGAACTCTGTGGCTCAAGCAATCCTCCCTCCCCAGCCTCCCAAAGTGCTGGGACTATAGGCATTAGCCCCACTCCCAGCTTGCACTTCTTAATATACCCACTAGATGTCCCCAGAGAGGGCAAATATAGAACCACTGGGCTCAAAGTCGTAGTATATTACATTTTTTAAAAAAATCTATTTCTATAT